GTGACATTTACAGCAGGATAATGCAGATGGCTCCTCTCTGGACAAAGTTTATGAGCCCATTTTATAAACCTTTCGTTTTTGCCCTTTGAGTCTGGTTTGCTCAAAATTGGCCTACATAAAGATACACTTTCTCCCTCTTGTGGACAGTAATTAGAATTGCAATTATGAAAAGGAAAAGGAAAAACAAAAGGATTTTGACTTCACTTTTTTCTAGCGAGATATGCAGCAGGCACAATATTTGTAGTGATTTGGTAACCTTTACCGTACAAGTGCCTATTGGTATACACATTGCCCTAACAAGCAAAAAATGCTCAGTTCGATCTTGGGAGGAGACGCTATTCCCTTTTGGCTTGTGTCAGGAAGGAAATTTGGTATAAAAATCTGCCAAATCAAATATGAAGAGCTACTGCTGCAGTGACCCTTCAACAGGAGTATCTATAGATAATGTCTGTAAATAGTGTCTATTTTACTAATAAAAAAGCAAAGCTGTTAGGCTTAGAATGTAGTTTAATAACAGTAATGTTTTACTCTGTTGCCTGCTCTTATTTTAGCAATATGAAAACTGGAGGCCCAACCAGCCTGACAGCTTCTTCTCTGCTGGCGAGGACTGTGTGGTGATGATATGGCATGAGGATGGTCAGTGGAATGATGTTCCTTGCAACTACCACCTCACTTTCACCTGCAAGAAGGGCACAGGTAAAAAACAAACAAACAAAAAAATCCACTTTTTAAAATTTTCTTAAGGTAAAAATGAAAACCCATAGTTCCTGTAAAATTCCTTATCAAATGCCTTTGTCTCGTCTGGTTTACAGTGGCCTGTAGTCAGCCTCCTGTGGTAGAGAATGCACGTTCCTTTGGGAAGACACGTGAACGGTATGAGATCAACTCGCTGGTGAGGTACCAGTGCCGTATAGGCTTTATTCAGAGACATGTCCCAACTATCCGTTGTCGTGGGAATGGACGATGGGATATCCCGAAAATCAGCTGCATGAACCGTAAGTGCACACTGTTGCTCTCAATAGATAGACATTACTCTGAAAAGTATGGAGTGCCAAAAGTGCCAAAACTGAAAAAAAAATATATAACATTTAGTATGTTATTTATTCATTTAACATTTTTATGCTTGCATTTATTTATAAGTTGTTACTTTTTTGCATTTTGTCCCAGCCCTGAATATTTATCATATTTTCTTAATACATTGGCATTTAACTGCCCTCAGATGCCTATTAGGAGCAACCCTTATTTCTGAAGTGCATGGTTTTTGAATTTTCAAAATTTGTCATTAAATGTTTTCTTGTTGTCCAACATTATCTTTATGGGTGAAAGAGTTAATGCTTAATTAATTCATAATTTGCTTTAAAACAGCTGTGGTTATGTTCTAAATAAATACTTTTCGTTTCGAGTTTTCATTGGCTAAAATATATTTTCCTGATCAGCCAACAACAAAATTTGACCTTCATTGTAATATTGAAGCACAGAGAACAACATATATTTTTGTGCATTTAATAAGATATAAACCTATTTACTGAGTTTGCTACTCAGCATTAATCCAATGTGTAAGATTTTGACAAATAATTATAGTTTGAGAGCTAAAATGTGATTTCCCCCCCCCCCCAACAGCCTCAAGCTATCAGAGGACCTTTATCAGAAGGCATCAGCACAATAGTCTCTACAGCATCCACAACTTCAATAACTGGCAAGATGAGTCCTTCCACTTTCGTCATCAGCTCCGACCAGGAAGGAGACACAAAATAGAACATAAGTGGAAATAACACGGCACACCTGAGACGAGAGCACGTGCCAGATGCTTGTTTGAAAAGAACAAAAAAAAAAAAA